CTCCCCCCCTTCCACCTCCCACCTTCCACCCCTCCTGGTCCACTAGGTTTTGCCTATCGCCTTTTACCTTGTTGCTGTACGGGCCCAGCGCGAATCTAGCGCTGGTACATTTCACTTACACACCTTAAAAATAGATACAAAATTTTCAAAATTATTTTTTTAGCGTTTGTGCTGAGCGAAACGTACAGTGCAGCAGATTCAACAGTAGTAGTTTAGATACCCCTGCTCCCTTCGCCCCTCTGCCTCCCCCGCGGTCGCTGCTATCTCCGTCGCACCGTGCAAGACGGATTTCTGAGCCGAGCAGTCTGGTATCACTGTTATCAGACAAGGGGAAAGGGGGGGGGGCTCGTTGCAGGATTGATGCGACACCATTAGCGGCGTCGATCAGCAGCGAGGAGGAGAGGTCACAAGGGGAAAGGGGGGGGGGGGTCAAAGAAATAGCGAAAATCGGTCACGTAGTAGGGGTACGATCCCTTACAGTCCGTGTTTGTAAATAAGTTAAGCACGACGATCGTGTGTGAGATGAGTGTACGAAAACTTGATGAAAATATGGGTCTGCTCGAAGAACATGCAACGATGCATAGTTGAGGATTTAAACACTGTACGAACGATAAGTACTTAAGAGGCGCTTGTTGTCGCCGGTGCTAGTTCCTGCAAAGTAAGCAAACATTACCCAGCCTCTCATGTCAGTCGCTGCTTTCGTCTCGGAGAATGTCACATATACTTCTTGTACGTGGAGCCGACGTGTACGTGCGTCCAAGGTAGGAATAGTACTCTAGTGGGCGGCGGGTACGGCGGCGGGGAATGCACTCTCAAATTACGTATTCTAATCTTGATTCGTTAGCGTGGGCCTGGTTGCTGCAGCAGCGCCACAGCACACGGCACGCCGGCACGCCAGCCGGCCAGGGTTGTAAAACTAAATAAAAAGGAAAGAGAGAAAAAAAAAACGAAGTCGGTGAGCTCAACACGCACACGTCATAAAGGCTTGATGGCGGCTCGCGGCCAGCCCCGGCCTGCCCCGCCCCGCCAGACCCGACTTGATAATTGCACAGGCGACGATGAAATCAGACGTAAGGCCTCCTGGCCGTCGGGGTCCTGGGCGGGGGGCGGGGCCGTCTGTCCTTGCGGCGGGTCACCAGCCCACACCACACCAGGACCGGGCCCAGGTGACCCTGCTGCCGCCGCGAGCCCACTCCCGCGGCCCCGGCCGGCGCGGCGCGACGCGGCGCCCCTACTTCTGGCGCGGACTGTCCAGCCGTCCATTGGCGGGGCGGCGCTGCGGGCGGCCAATGGGCGGCGGGCAGCTCGTGAGCAGGGGGGCCGCGGGGG